CCACCAGGATTCACTTTTGCAGGCAACAGACGTTACCGAAGACGAATCCCCAGGTGGAAGTGAAGAAAGAGACTCGGGCCAACCGGTCAATACATAACACTTCCTATGGACCTGGAACTCTGTGCTCTGTTTGTGTGTTTGTATCAAAGATACTCAATCAATGCAGATTGCATATATCATATTTCGTGCATAGAATTAGGGAGGAGGAAGCTGCTTTAAATTTTATTGATACGTTTCTATAAACTCGTCCCGAGACCGTCGTCGGGTGGGGGCATAGTGTTCCACTATTGTGGCGTTGTTTCCCCTACCTTTGTGGATTATTTCATACAATTTCGGGTGATGAATTGAACGCTCAGGCGTATATACCTTGTAATAAATTTGTCCGCCTTTTGTGCGGGCCTAAACAACAATTTTCAGTGTCTGTAATTTTTGCCACAAATGAACTGGACGTTCTCGGGTCTAAGGGTTTTTGAGTATAAATGCAAAATTTTTCAAAAAATTGTTTTATGGGAAAAAACCCAGTTGCGCTTCATGCGCGCTGCCCGGGTACACCTCATGGCGGGAATCAATACGTCACTTAAAAGATATGACGTAACGGTGACGTCATCCACGTTAGCGTCATCCACGTCAGCTTTCTGATTAACGCGCATCTCCGCCTGGATAGCCGCCCGCTCCGGACGTGTTTTGCCCTGTCTCATTTTAGCAACTTAAAACCACCTCCTCCCAAGCCTCCTCCTCTCTATATCGCTATTTAGGTTCCTTTTTCTTAGTCATGTGCGTGTATGCGTTGTTTCCCCCACCTTTGTGGCTTATTTCATACAATTTCGGATTGATGAATTGTACGCTCAGGCGTATATACCTTGTAATAAATTTGTCCGCCTTTTGTGCGGGCCTAAACAACAATTTTCAGGTCGACCACGTGTGACGTCACATGCAAAGGATCGTCCGATTGTCTTACGTCACCTCCGTAACGATTTTTGACGGCTACATCAACCAGAAATGAACTGTTTAGGGGGTAGACTGAGTGCGCAAACTGTTCGAAACCGTCTGAGAACTGCTCACCTTCAAGCACGACGGCGATACTGCGGGCCGATTCTGACTCAATTACACAGACGTCAACGTCAATTGTGGGCACAGCGACACTTACGATGTACTCAAGTCGTCTTCAGTGATGAATCCCGATTTAATCTTCCATTTGCTGATGGTAGGGCGAGGGTGTGGAGGCGCCGTCTTCACGTTACGCCCAGTGTTGTGTACAGGAAGTTGACAGATTTCGAGGCGGAAGTGTCATGGTGTGGGGTGCTTTCTGTGGCAATGCACGTTCAGGCTTTTTGTCATCCGTGGCAACCTAAACGCTGCTGCTTACCGCGACCAGGTACTGGCACCAGAACTTCTGCCTTTTATGGCAGCACATGGACCCGGTTTGATCTTCCAACACGACGATGCCAGACCCCACACAGCAATTTTGACAAGGAATTTCCTTCAGAATGCAGGAGTCAACGTCATGGACTGGACGTCAAGGTCTCCCGACCTCAATCCTATCGAACACGTCTGGGATGCTCTTGGCAGAAGTCTGCGCACTCTCCTGAACCAACCACAGAATGTGCAAGATCTTGGCACCATTTTGCAGAACAATGGCGTCGTCTTCCCAATCTTGTGTTCACAAGCATCACAAGGTCCATGCGGAGGCGTTTAGTGGCAGTTGTCAACGCACATGGTGGCCATACACGCTACTGAACTTGTGTGCCATCAGATTCTCGTGCTTGGGACTTATGATTTAAACTGTTGATGTTATTACCGAATACCGTGCCTCGAAGTTATGGTTACCACCGTTAATTAAAATCCATCTTTGGACATTAATGATTACAAATTACCTTCTGATACATTTGCCCGTTGTATATCATATATGGGATTACTTTTAAAAATGTGAAGTTTTTAATTTGACTCAGTATACTTGTGGCAGGATACGAAACGTAGCTAGTTACTTGTCGTTAGTACAGCTGATACAGTCATAAAGATAGTAAAGAAGCAGCAGTGAATAGTCACGATTTCGCAGCTAACCAAATCAGAGAATCGAACCTGTATCGTCAGCGTGACCACTGTCGCATTGTCGCATACATGTATATATTAATGACAGCTTATTTTCAATATTTTAACAACGCACGATCTATGATTTACAGATAAAAGCGACAAAACCCTTTCCATATTCATAAGAAATCTCTGCTACAAGCAGAGTCGATTGTACGATCTGGACTATAGCATGAGCATGTGTTATGAATCACTATCAAACAGTTATGATGCAAGGTGTTCCAAGAAAGGTGGGCGTATCCAAGCTCGGTTTGCATCGGTCACCGATGCATCACATTTGAAAATGTCCTCCACATGTCAATATAACATTTTTTGAAAGCTTTAGTGAGGCATTGAATGCTGTATCCTTGATTAAACAACTTCTGTTCAACAGTTGTATGACGCTCTTTGAAATCTTAGTGGAAAGAGGATGCTTCATTGTATCTCAAAAGTTGTGAAATGTAAACACCAAAGGCTTGAGCTGCTGGAATATTACTCGACATGAAGGGAAAGTGGACTACTGGAAAGTTGACTTCATAGATGATCACGCCCAGGGATTGAACCCAGCAATAAACAATACCAATTATAAACAAAACATATTTGTATTAATGGACTTGGAAAAGCACCAAATATCTCAGATGTTTACCTGTGATGTGATAACATACTTTATTATCGACAGCAGTTCTTCACATCGGACTATGTATCTGCATCCGCCATCTAGGACCTCCTAAAGGGGCATTCACACGGTACAACTAGTTGAATGTGAATGCCCCGTAACCGAGTGTCCAATACGCACAGAATACTTTGAAAAGGTCCCGGCGACTTAATGGATCGAGTGGTCAGTCTCAGTGACTTGGTTCAATGCGTATCATCGCGCACTGACAGCGTGAGACGTTGCTCGTTGTATCAATCACTAGTGTGTCCGAGTCAATTATTTACAGACCGTTGTCATACAGCTTGACATATTGAGTTCAGCGATAAAAAAAAGAAATAACCAAACTGCGGTATAACGGAACAAAACAGGTTTGTTTTTGTATAAGCCTGCCATGTTTATATTTGTGTGATACTTCATTCATAGAACAGTGTAAAGGATCTTTACTAAAATATGGATTCAAATATTTTAAGATGCGTCAAATGTGATATACATTTTACCAATAAACGTCAAGTTACAAAACGAAACTAGACACAGCGCATGTCTGGAACCTTCCCCGTAACTATAACTACATGGATGACGACTTCCGCATTCCTGGCAGACAAGTTACTACGATGGTGGTATTGACACGCATTAAAGACAGAGAAAGCTAGTGATGACTAAGAATTATATGTCCGTTCACAATACACAGTCAAGGTAAGTAATTTCAATAATCAGTGAGTTCACTTTGAATTAATTCTATAATGGCGCTTTGGAATGAATACAAAACAATTTAGGCTGTGACCAAGAACGCAAAGAACAAGAAGGACTTTTGAAGAAAAACGAAATCCTCATCTTATTTGTTTATCATATTCGAAATCGTATCCAGTGGGCCCGGTAAATGTATGCTTATTGACGACCTGCTTTTAATACAAGCTTATGTCTGTGTAAATATATTCCTTTGCCGCTCGTTACGTCGTGTAGTTAGGTTATTCATGGCTGGTAGAACGGACAGTGTTGGAGAGAATGGGTAATTATCGACCCGGGTGCCGGTTGACGAGCTAGGCATGCTCATTGACTGTGGATCGATCTGACTACCTGTGTTGAAGGGAGGGGCTCCTTATCTCTCGGGTCTCGGCGGTTGCGGGGTCCCCTTCCTGAGGGCGTCCTGGGTGTAGTTATTTGGTGACCACTAGGTTGTCCGGAGTTCAGGAGTTATAAATACCTATGGCTATTCATTTTGAATGGATATTTTGCACCAGCGTGAAAAGTATTGATGTACTGGGCGGTAGACTGACAAACTTGGAATAGTACTCCCTATATGTATTTTGACAACGAATAACGTTGCAGACTATCATGGAATAATCAATTCACCTGAACAGAACTAAATATTACGCCCAATGTGTAATTTGATAACGAATAGCACTCCATCTGACTTGGGATGACCTGTACAAATATTACAGTCAATTAATCATGAGCGACGCTCTGTCCTGATCTGGAATTTCATTGACTATTGCAGATGTCAGAAACGTCTTTTAATCAGTTGAATTTTTAAATCTAAATTTGTCAAACATGCTGACATTTCCTGTTTAGTTCTCACGCCTAAAAAACCTGTTTATGTGTTGAGGTGATCTTTCAGGCATATGACTGACCGACTGTCAAAGGCAAGATGACCTAGATATAGATTTGCAAAGAGTTTTCGACCAGAATAACATATTAAAATAGCATACAGTGTGCGAGTTTAGCCTCAATTTTGTAATTGATATCTTTTCCCGTAAAAACCAAGCCTCGTTCTCAAGTGCGACCTACAAACAGTAAATACAATTTGCTAGCAGATGACATATTCACTCTCTAGTCTCTATCAACTGGATAAACAGAGGTTTCTACTAAAACAACCGTGTTTTTGTACTTTTATTAGTTTTCCATGTTACAAAATATATTCACTGAATATTAATGCTTTTCACCTGGGTGGTAAGGTTTATTCATTTCATGATGAGGACCATCTTTGATAAAATGTACCCAACTGTATGCATACCTGACAGGGACTACATGGGCTCCCATAATTATACGATGTCTTACATTTTGTCTCAGAAGGAATACCATCATTCCAGGTTTTGTTTCTATTTCCTTTCTACCTTTTTGTCAAAATAATATACTTATGTATGTGATAATATGAAACTATATCCTCAAAGAATATCATATTATATTGTATTACGTATAGGGAGAGAGTCTGGATGTGTCTCGAAATTATACAAGAAATCCGAAAATGCTTCATATTTAATAACTATATTTCCAGATAACCATGTCGGACTATGTATCAGCGTCCGCCATCAAGGATCTTCTCACCGAGTGCCCAATATGTACAGAACACTTTGATGAGGTCAGACGGACACCTCGTCGTATGCCCTGCTGTGTACAGTCAATATGTCAGGCATGTCTAGAGACGCACAGCAAAGGACTCCCAACGTTATCATGTCCCATGTGTCGACACCAACATAATTTGCAGGGCGGTGTGAAGTCACTACCCAAAGAGCCTATCATCCTAAGGATCCTGGATCATCTGAAGATTGTGAAGGGTCTCGATCTGCCTTGTACGCATTTTCCTGATGGTAACCCTGCCATGTCCAGATGTGATGACTGTGGCGTCTTCCTGTGCCAAGAATGTCTAAATGCCCACAAAAGAGTTCAGTCAATGCGAGATCACCAAACTGTCAGTTTTAAGGAAATGAAAAAACAACCAGGTAAAAGTTTCAATCGTCACCATAAATGTGCACAACACGACCAACCTCTACAGTTCTACTGCTATACTTGTGAGAAGATCGTCTGTGTGTCCTGCACTGTAGTGGACCACAAGGAAGGGAACGGACACAACGTTGTATCCGTGAATGAAGCACACCAAAAAAGGCAAAGTCCATTGACGATACCTTAGTCAAGCTGAGGGAGAAGGCAGAGGAACTTGAGAAAATAAAACAAGGTCTCCAGGAAAGGCATTCAAACATACAGGTGTCAAAACAGGCTGCGGTGGTTGACATCAACAAAGCCTTTGACGTATTGATTGATGAAATACAGCAGAGGAAGGGCAATCTGTTGTCAGATGTTGAAGAGAGATCCAGCAAGATTCTGAAGCTGACACAGGAGGAACTGGATTCCACCAGTAATATTCTAGCAAAAGTGACATCATCTACCAAGTACACACGACAGATGCGGAGTAAAGCTGACAAGATAGAGGATCAACAAATGATGGGGTCTTCAGCTGCCACCTTGAGCGCCATGTTGGAGATGTCACCAAAGGCGTCACTTGTAAGAGCTGGTGTCAGCTTTGCTTCAACTTGCTTCAATAAAATAACCCCCTTGTTGAAGATGGCCAGCCTCGTCAAATCAGTTGTCTTTTCACCAACAGAGACTCCAAATGGAAATAAATCCTTGAAAGATGCAATGACTATTGAACACGAGCATGTGCCACAAGGTAATCAGTCTGTACTTTAATTTAATTCAAGTATTTTCTTAAAGACACTTCCTCTATTTTGATATTTTTGTGCATTTTGTTTCATAACTGTGCAGACGGTTATAAACTATCCCCATATAACTGTGAACCACATGGTAATAATGGCACGTCATGTCTATTGATACTGATTTCACCCTAACACATTTGTGTCCACAGCTGCATATATGACCGAGGAGCCGTTGGGAGTAAAAGGATCGCTCGCATGTGAGTTCACCCTCAGGTTGCTTTATTGATGTGGAGAGCATCACGAAGTGCAGTACAACTGTTCACTGCAATGAAGTTCTCTCCTCACTAATTTAAGTTACTTGAATAGTTACTGTAATGTCAAATGGGTCTATATAAAGATGTTTCTTTCTAAAACTTGTCCCAATTTTACAAGATTGAATGGTGTCTTCAAAAAGTCATGGTACACTGAAGTTGTAAATAAAAGCGACAACGCCATTTCCATGATCATAAGAAAGCTCTGTTAAAAGCAGATCTGTTATGTGATTCCGACAATATCACAACCATGTGTTTATGAATCACTATTTTTACGTGTCGATTTCCAAATTGAAACAGTGTGTTAACCAAGAAATATGTATTTAAAAGAACTCAGTGTCAAACCAACAGACAAACAACAAATGGTATACAATCAACAAATGTATTACAACATTGAGTAGGTTTACAAATCAATACAAATTACTTCATAGTAATTACAATGACAGTTCACAATATGGTGGTCTTAAAATATTCAATGACAGTATGTAAAATGATGACAGTGGTAAGTATCACATACAAAACTACAGTGGTGATAGCAAAAGTCAGTGATAATACTATCTTCACCCAACGGTGACAGTGGTCAAGCTTTTGAGATTCCCTAGGCAGGGAATCCGGGGTGATGAGTGATCTTCACACGAAAGCTGGACTTGATGTAATGAAATGTGTGAGATACTAGAGCCACGCTCTTCCCCTTATATTCTGTCTGACTAGCTACTGGAAATTTCCACAGAGTGTCATCACAACATAGAATATTCTACATGTTTCTATTACACTTTATCATAATCCACGGTATTCCGGTAGTTTACACATCACACTAGCATATAAATATAATAACTTTCTCATCACTGCTTACCAAGCTCCTTCCCAGCGCGTGACACCTTCGTTACACTCTCGGTAACATCGCTGCCACCAGTGTGGGCGCGGCCATTACAAGAATCTTGAAATTTGCCCTCTAACCCCAAATGTAGTAACGTTTATACTTTTGTTTATGTCTTAGGGAATGCCATCATATTTCAATTTGAAAAGGTTTACGACTAACCATGTTTTCCAGATGAATCTACTTTGTTGTTTTGATAATCAGATTGGTTCGAGATTGCAGACTAACGGAAAACCAACAGTTCAATAGTCTGAAGCCCTAAAGAACCTTTATACAAAATACAGTCCATTGAGTCTTCTCTTCTGTTGACCAGCCAGATCTGTTTGATAACATTGTATGTTAATTGGTTATCTGTCCCTTGGAGAGTCTTTCTGCAAGTGCTTCACGTCCCTTTGGATGGTTGATCTGCCATAGACTGCTTGTGAATCAATAGCGTGTCCCAGTGTCCTCAGACCAAAGTTGGAGACATAGTGAGAAGCTCTTAATTAGCACTTCCTTGGCAGAATCTCTGCACCAACCTGTTTTTCCATAAAGTCTCCTGGCAAATCCGTAAAAGCTGCAATTTCTCCTTGCTGTACCCGCTCCAACCATTCTTCCAGAGATTCATCCGAAGCCTGATGAAAGACTGCAGTAGATCATCTTCCAAACCGCCTTTCGTGTTTCTTAATCGTTTCATGGAAGCTGATGTACTCATCCTTCTCTAGAAGTCAGCTGCTTCACCCATGAGACAGTAACACAGCATATCCAGCATATCCTCATTCTATTGCTGGGAGTGGTTGAAGCAGTGAAATTTCACGGAAAACAAGTGTTGCAAATCATTCGTCTGTGCCTTTTGGATCCTCATTAAGATATACGATTTGCTCACGCAACGGTTGAAATCCCCAAAAGCTGTCCGAAATGCAGACAGAATGTGTATAATCCACCTGTGTTTGATAGAGCACTGATCCTTAAGGCTTCGTCCATAATAGTCTTTGCACCCCAGAGACCCACTAGCGCACTGACAGGCATTAGAGGCATGACCATCATCTTCGACATTCCAAGGGTAATCCTCTTTGGTATTATCATTCTATTGGTGCCCATGGGTACGTGAGCGACATGGTGTTGCCATTATCATAGGATCTGGATTCCATCTGGACAGAAGAAGGTTCTCCACAACAGACCCAATGCTAGAGATTTTATTATCCTCCAGCAGTTCATCTCCAGACACGAGGCTGTGACCCTTTTCTGATGAGTGAGTTTGATTGATTTTATGCCGCTTTTAGCAATATTCCACCAATACCACGGTGGGGGACACAAGAAATGATGGGCTTCACACATTGTACCCATGTCGGGAATCGAACCCGGGTCTTTGGCGTGACGAGCGAACGCCTTAACCACTAGGCTACCCGACCGCCCCACTTTTTCTGATGACAAATACAGAGACCTAGATGCAAAGGTCTCCCGGGTGGATGGGTTTACATGTTTACCAAACCCCTGGTTTTGTTTGGCCTGCCCCCAAACGTTCTCCATACCCAAGGATTAGAGCTTGTCTCTGCTGGATATTCATCTGAGCTCTTTGGAGGACCCGAGGGGCAATCCCCTCAGTAGTGGGCTTTGTCCTAGAACTCCGACTGGACACTTCCGTACATGTACCTCAGATTGAGTGGTTGGCGTGGGTGCATCAGAGAGACGGCCAGTTCCATGATTTTTAGGGCTACTGGTTTCCATGTTTGCTTACCCCAGAAAACCTGCCATTTATCGACATACATGCACGTGTGTGTGTGTGGTTGATTGTACAACTCCGGCCAGTTTTATTGTTCTAGCCCACTGAGATACCATGCTGCAGTTTAACATGAATACCCAACTCAAACGCAGTATACTTGATCCGAGCTGACAGCTCCTTCCTTTCGCTCAATAATGCACAGCTCCAGGCAGGATAACAACAAGTACCATCTTTTAACGTATTTTGGTATGATGCACCCCAGCTAGGGGTAGCTCTTGTGGTAGCAGAATGGCGGGGTATCGTGTATAGGTCGCCCGACATAGGCACAACAGAGATTGATATACATGATATTTATCGTCATTACACCTTCACTATCATTTCATCAGTTCCCTTATTTTATGTCGGTAGAATATTTCCTTAGAAATCGCACTTAGAAATGTACAATTTCCATATGATAAAACATGTTGTTGAAACCAGTATATCTTGAAAGGGTAGATAAGTGTCTCGCATGCGAAACGAAATGAACAGCTGGCAGTCGTCTAAGACGCCTTTGCAGAGTTGCGTCCCTTGTGTACGCTACATACATCCCTGAGACCTACATCCCTTCGGGCTTTCCTCCCACAACTAGAATACTGTTAAATGAATGAATGAGTATGGTTTTACGCCACTTTTAGCAATATTCCAGCAATATCACGGCGGGGACACCAGAAATGGGCTTCACATATTTTACCCATTTCGGGAATCGAACCCGGGTCTTCGGCGTGACGAGCAAACGCTTTAACCATTAGGCTACCCGACCGCCCGAATACTGTTAAAAGCCTAATAAAACCCAAATCACTCAATGACTCATTACATTACAACGTTTCTAGTAATCGGAATTTGTCGTATGTTCCGACTTCACATTCAAAACTAATTACTACACCCCTGCTGAAGTCAGTCTATTTGATACTAAATGTTGTCCAAATATGGCAGGTAGACTTTCGTTTTATTAAACTAATATTTTTGATTTACTGACATGGTATACTTTTTCCCATATAGTTTTATCCTTAATATTCACGAAAAACATAGCAATATATATATATTACACTTCAATCCCACATTAAGCTGACATGCCGTGATATGACTGTTCTACTGTTAAAACAGTGTTAAACCCAATTCACACACGAATATAACATTTAGTTTAGTTGTTTGTATACACGGAAACGCATTCACCTAATACGGACGATGTGTCTTCTCCCCAGATGCGGATCTGGAATGGGTATCCAGTATTGCAAGTGACGATCTGACGGTTTCGGGGCCAGTTGTCACCAATGGCAAACAAGAACATCTTCCACCAAGGACAGGATGCCGACTACTTTCACCTCGCACTGTCCTGACATCAACACCTCTGGTCATCACGCCAGGCCAGACCATCATGTACGGCATGGAGGTCACATACTCTGTCATAACACCAGCGGATAACAATAAAATTATCTTCAAAGCAACTTTGACTGGCAGCCCTTTTGATGCTTACAAGCTGCAGACAACTGGATTGAGTGTATTGTTTGTAACATGCGCAGCTCACAATGGAATATGTCTAAAGGTATAATACAACGGACTATATCTGTCCGATGACAACCTTACACTGAACGAGAGTGGTACAACTTACAGCCTGGATTTGGGATTCGTTCTTGAAGAGGAAACACATACAGTCCATGTCCTGGACCTTAGTCAACAGAAACTCGTCACATCTGTAACTCCCTTTCCGTTTGATAAACCTCTCTGGGTCATGATTAAATTTGGATCTTATCCTAACACCCACTTAACCTGTGAATTATCATCACAGAAAGGAAGAAACATGCATGACGCAATCGAACGCTTGATCCACGAGTAACTGGAAAACGAGCTGATTGACGATGCCAAGCAGATAATGCAGACAGAGAAATAACACTTCGTCTTTAATGTGACCATTGTATGCCAATAAAGCCATAATGAATTGTTTGATAGGCATTACATGTACTTAGAAGTTGACGGATGACAAAGTAGACACAATTTATGAATAACAACTTCTTTAATACTGTAAAGGCGACGTTTCGGTATAGTTCCTTGCTTGACAACGGTATAAGGATTTATACCTTTACAGTA